AATCTCAGGGTGATATTCTACAGGCCATCCCCCTCTTCAAGAGCGGGGGGGGATGCATCCCCCCATCCCCCCGGGATTTACGCCCCTGGGTCTACAGTCTACCTATTTTACTAATAGATTAAATTTTGATCATATAGTATATTAAAATCATTGAATTTTGAGTCTTATTATATTTTTAATAGTAATAGATGTTTTTATATGATTGAGTATTAATCAGAAGTTATTTACGCTATAAATTATATTATTGTTTCATAGGTTAGTACTATAATAGTGGTTTACGTAATAGTAGGTCTATAGTTAATGCCTATAATATGATCAGGAGTAAATAAACAAATTTATTTTTATTCACTGATTTTATTATATTAATGCACCACAATGAATTTTTGTATTATTCTGATCAATTGAAATAAATGTTATTTTTATGGTATCACAGCATTATGTAGGAGTTTTGCTTTATGCATGGCAGTTTCTTCATGATTCAATGAAGGAATGAATGATTGATTGAATGAATGAATGAATGAATCATTGTATTATACAGCTGCGTATTATTTTTACATTTTTTACTGTTATATATATATATATGGATGGATATAGAATAATAACTCCTATAACTCCTCTTCATCTTGAAAGTATAATTTTTGGAAATAATAATTATTCTCGGGAGATATTGCGCAGGCGCGAGCACCGTTTCAGGCGTGCAGTACGGAGTGAAGACAACTGCATAATACAGCTTGCTGAGGGAGAGAGGGGTTGGAGACTGAGGAAAGACGGCAGTGAAGATAGCTTAGGGCCGGTAGAAGAAAGAAACTGAGCGAAGGACAAGGGAGGCAAGGGGAAGGATGGGAGGGCATAAAGTAGGTGTTTTGCACCCTATAGGCTAGGGCGCGCTCCTAACTTTAAACACAGGCCTACTGATAAAAATTTATTGAAGAAATCTATGCTTAGATACTCACTAACACTAATAAATGCATAACCATTACAAAATATAACTCCTCTGGTGAGATATCGCGCATGCGCTAACACACTAACGTTGCCAGATTGTCTACTGGCTGGTATATGCAGCGGGGACCTTACATGCAAGGTCTTCCTCCCATTTCTTAAGTGATGTCTAATGATAAAATGTTACCATATAAATCTGTGCTAGGATAACGCCTCTTCTTTTTAAATGCCTATAATAATTTTCCGGGAGATATTGCGCATGCGCGAGCACCGTTTTAGGCGTGCAGTACCTTCTGAATAAAACTTAATAATATAGCTTGCTGAGGGAGAGAGGGGTTGGGAAACTGAGGAAAGGCGGCAGGGAAGATGGCTGGGGGCGGTAGAAGAAGGAGGCTGAGCGAGGGGCAGAGAAGGCAAGGGGAAGGACGCGAGGGCATAAAGTTGGTGTTTTGTACCCTACAGGCTAGGGCGCTCTAGTAATTATGAACACAGGTCTACTGATAACAATTTATTAGAGAAATCTATGCTGAGATACCCCTAACCATATTAAATGCATATTCATCACAAATTACAACTCCTCTGGTGCGATATTGCGCATGCGCTAACACACAAACGTAGCCAGATTGTGTACTGGCTGGTATATGCAGCTGGGACCTTACATGCAAGGTCTTCCTCCCATTTTTTAAGTGAAGCCTACCGATGGCATGTTATCATATATATCTTTGCTAGGATAACTCTTCGTCATTTTAAGTGCATAATCTTTGCAAAATATTATTATTTTCGGGAGATA